ACTGCATATCTAGTTTTATGCATTCAGTAATTACGTATGGAGTGACTACAAGGTCAGGTGACGTAATCACAGAACAGCCACTTTGTTCTGTTGATTTGTCTGAGTTGCACAAATATCAAGCAGTTCAATTGCACCCGTGACGCCTGTTAAATATATCAACCGTCAGCTGATTGAAGATAAAAATCATAAATGGGAAACCCAAAAAAGAGATTTTAACAAACAACTCATCCAACACTTATGAGAAACCTCCAGGGAACCAATAAAAATGCTGGAAGTATCCCGCAATGTGGCTACACAACATATGGCGATTTTCCTGTCAGGTTTCGATCCAAAAACGGAAGCTCAAGAAATACAACTATCTAAAAGAAAGAAAACTGGATGAAAACGTTATCTGCTAAAAGATGAAAACCAGGACAGATCAGTACAAAAGTTCATTTAAAACTACTGTTTCAGAACTAAAAATACCTCATTTAATGCTAGAAAGAATTATGGCCGAACGGTGTAATTTTTAACCATTTTCAGAATGTACAGAGGCCCCCGTGTCAAAACACAGTATAAGGCACACACCAAAAGAAATTATCAGTAATCCACTTAAATATGCAATCAATTAAAACAAGTATTGATGCCATTAATTTTATCCTAGAAGATCATGATGAATGCTTTGCTCTTCGTTTAACTGAGCACTAGAAAACAGAAGAACAACTGCAGAACTAGAATGTGCGGAATTTTATACTGATCTCTTCATAGTTCGGAGGAGCGTGGTGACAGTGCGGTATACATCAAAGACATGTTTATTCCAAAAGTTCGGAAAGATATTTCTAGTTCATCAAAAAGAACGGTGTTTGCCGCGCTGCAGAGGTGCTAATTAATAAGAAGATTGTAATCCTATCCATCTACCTAACAGAAGAAGTTTTAATAAACAAATTAACCAAATACTTTGAGATTTAGTTGACAAGGACTCACATCATTTTTCTGGCTGGTGATTTTAACTTAGATATGCTGCTTGAGGGTGCAAGGTGGCCAGACACATTAAAAATGTTTTTGAGCTCCTTTGATATTAAACCTTCCATCAAAGACTATACACGCATACAAGGTAGCAAAAATCCTGTATAGATAATATTTTTACAAATCTTGGCATATTTGATTCTCTTGTATTCAATCCCCATCATCTGATCATACTGCTTAAAAGGTAAAATTTGAATTAAATAAATTTGAGTCCCATTTGTCATTTTGGTGTGGGAGTTTTACCCCTTCTGAAATATATTCTGCCTACCTACGACCATCGAGCAAAAAGATAAGATAAGATAAGATTATCTTTTTGCTCGATGCCTACGACACAGAATAAATAACAATCAGAATGCCCACTCTCTGATGCCACCTTTGAAGTTTGTCAGTACGCGATTGCCATATATTGAGAAATTTGTGACAGCTACGACAGAACCACAAAATAATAAACAATCAGAATGCCCACTCTCAGATGCCGCTTTTGAAGTTTTTCAGTACGCGCGCCATGTTTTAGAAGACACAGACATATAATTTGTGAGTTTATGTTATTATATTCAACAATGTTAATATAATTGTATAGTATGTATATGATTGCCGTAAGTCAATTAAACCGGGTTAATTTTGTCTATGCACAACACATAAACAACACTGGTTCCGTCTAAAACACGGCGGAACGTCTTCGCGAAGGAGATGCGCGTACTTAATTTTCCATGGAGAGTGGGCATTCTGATTGTTTATTATTCTGTGACAGATTAGTACATTTAAAATAATTTAATCTGTTCTTCAACTAAAAGTACGAATAAAATTGTGCATATTATGTCTGTAGTTGTCGTAAATAAATTAAACCGGGTTATGTTTGTCTATGCACACCAGATAAAAGAGAGTTATCAAGTATTATTTTGACATGTAAACGCTATTTTTTACGGTATAAAGTTTTACGGATATGTAATTTTAGAGTTATCAAATAGTCAATATCAAATATCAATAGTCGAATTGGTGCTTTACGTTAATAGTTGGCAGCTGTCAGTTAAATATCGTATGTGACAGCAAAATAAATAATTTTTTTGTTTTCTTTCATCCAAGGTATATATTTTGTCTGGTTTTGTACATTTTGGGTTTCAAATTTTTTCTACAGAAATATGAAAGACATTTTAGAACAAGCAATATTAGTTGAAGCAAACGACGAAGTTATAGAAGATTTAATAATAAATCATATTTTAAATGATAACATACAAAATGTACATTCGGTATTCAATTTGGATAGCTTAGAGCCTGAGCAAGCCAAATAATATTTTCGGTTTGAAAAACAGAACATTCCAGAGAGTTGACTCCTCGCACTTCTTTTACTAGTAAAAGGTCATCAGTTCTTGTAGAATGCAGCCTTTTTGTCGTTTTCACTATTTCCGTGTTAATAATTGATAAATATAATGAAATATAATAAAATGTTTTATTTGTCTCGCAGATGCTTAACCAAGAAAACAGAAAACACGTGTTAACCAATGCACAATGCATAGTAGACAGTAGTGCATAGTGATAAAATTACAGAACATGAACTCGAGTCCCGAGTCTTGACGAATTGGTGCGATTCGCTGCTAACGTTACCGTATATCAAACCCGCTATTCGACGTACGGTAACGGAACCCGTAAACGTTAATAGTATATTACATAACGAGAGTTGTAAGAAGCTTATTACATGCGAGTAAAAAAGTTGCGCGCGAGCCGCGTAGCGGCAAGCGCAGTAATTTTACAAGCATGTAATGATCTTACAACTCAAGTTGTGTACTATACTTTTTCTACCAGTATTTTGTTTATAAAAATAAAAATTAAATTACCACTATATTTACACTGACAGTTTAATAATTTTTAATCTGTCAAAATAACGTTACCATGGAAACGTTAATTCGTTTCCATGGTAACTCGACCAACTGACTTACGAGGCTTATGTGATATTACACATTTTTATAAAACTGAAGCGTAATTTTTTTTATTACGTGCTAGTCATTACGTGTCAGTATCAGTTATGATGCATTTACTTAGCATCCAAATAGTAGGTAATATACAATTTACTAGTAAGAGAGTAGAAAAAATCATTTACGGTATTCACATTTCATATTGCGCATGCTCTGCTGTCAAAATAACGTTACCGTATTCTCACTCTTTCACTTGATAACTCTCTAACATGTCACTGAACAGCACTGGTTCAGACTAAAACATGGCTGATTCCGTCTGCGCGCACGGTTCGTAGACTTACTAGTACGTCTACGAACGGTGGTCTGCGGGTACTTATTTTTTCAAGCAGAGTGGGCATCCTGATTGTTTATTATTCTGTGCCTACGATCTGTCCTCACATGATTGGTTGTTGGTAGTGACGTTATTCGTTAAAATATCCCTATGCTAATTGACAGCTGGATATGAAGTTCTATGCAATGACGTGTATATATGTCATTGATTCTATGTACTATGTTAGATTGACATATCACACGTTTTTATTTGTGCACCCTTCCGTTTGGTGACACTGTTAGTCATTGTTTATTGGCGTGGAGCAAGGTTAGTAAAAGAAGAGTAAAAGGGTCTATTTTTAATAACCTTGGGCGTGGACGTAGTAAGCTTTGTTTGTTGTCACTTAAATTGTTCTCAATTAAAAACAAAGTATATTCATATTCAAAGAATGTAGACGCATATATTCTAAAGCGTCTATAATATATTCTTTGGTATATGGTATATTGCTCAGAGTATATACCACATTGCTAAATGAATTCTTTATTATCAATATATCTGAGATAGAGACACAGCAAAGAATATAGACGCATGTATTCCCTTGAGACGAATACAACGCCATGTTTTTATTTGTTTTGTTTTTTCATAATTCATAAACAGTGCAAAAAGGTATAGTTTTCGACGATTTTTAATTATGGAATCGAACACAATACATGGAATAACAATGGAAACATGAAGAACTGAACAATAAAGAAGACTTGTTCCAGATTGCATGGATACTACCATGATACTACGGTGATACTACTAGCAAGCAATACCGTTTTCCGATTCTAGAAAATTATATGGATATGCCTGATAAATGGGTGAAGTGATAAGAGCCTTAAATTAGAGAAGACAGAAACTATAAAAATGTATACATATTGTATAGAATAAGGTTTTTTTGTTATTTTAGGATTATATTGATTTTCCCTTCCTTTAAAATGAGTTTACAATCCTAGGTAATTTTACGTGTCTTTTGAACTTAACGCCATGTATATATACACTTCATCTAATTTACATACTGATTCACGTCATCGGCGTCATAGCCCTTGACGTCACATGATATTAACACGAAATATTTAGGTGATAGGTGTGTTCTTTTTTAGAATTACTTTGCCGAGTACACTGGCATTATAGCCTCTAGACATATTTGATTATACGCGTAGAAATGATATTTAAAGATTTCTATTAATGTTAACTTGACGAAATACACAATAATATGTTTCATTTAATTTGTATAAATGCATTACAAAGCGTTTTTATAAAGAACATTTGTTCGGAACACACGGTAACTGTAATCGAACGAAGGTGAAATTTTGGCATAAATTGGTAACACTTATGTGACAGTTGGGGTGTTGATACTATTTGTACTTTATTATTTTCAATTTTAAAGTAAATACCTCTTGTTTTATATTTTTACCTATTTAATAAAATCTGTTCTTTTAAAACAAAATTAGTGTGTTTTGTTTCAAAAATGTCACGTAAGAATTTAAATAGTCGTTGTAAAGAGATGGTAATACTTTTGCAATAATTATGTGATCTATTTGATTTAAAATGGAGTCAGGATTTTTTTTATACTGTGACAACTGTCAACTTCGATCTCTGACGTAGATAATGACGTACATTGGATTGTAAATTAGATAAAGTATATATAGTTACGCACCCTGGCACTAGGCCATGTGATAATTGTCGATTTACTTTTAACATGGGACTGGCACTGCCAGGTGAGAGTGTGCTGTGATTGTCACAGATTGTGAATTGTGATAACCGGTAGTGAAATAATTAACTAAAAACTATTTTTTTTATATAAAACTTTTATTTTCATTTATGTTTTTAAGATGCCAAAGATAAAGCCATAGAAAGATTTAAACAGAATAGACAATAATATAAGTAACAAAATTTGTTTTTGAAAAGTTTGTTATTTAAATGGTGGAAATTGCATCCTACTGTGCGCTTGAACATTTTCCCCCCTAGAAAATGTCCGACAAAAACAATGCTGAATTCCGGGTAAGTTGTTAGATTACAATTGTTCTCAATAAAATTTTGAACGGAAGAGGTATCACGTAGATACATAAAATACTAATTTATGTTATGTTTTTCATTGTTACTTAAAGTGGTAAGTTGCAACATTAGCGATACTTAAAGAAATAACTAAAAAAATATCTTAACGGTCTTAAGGAAACAAATTAATTACCAATGAAAAGTTAAGTACAAGGTTAACCATCATGGATATTTTAATTGAAATAATGTAACCTGAATAACTCTTCTTGTTTGAGTAATTTATAGTAGGTTTTAATATCCAGATTTCCTTGCTGGATTTCCAACATTCCTGTGTGCATTATTGGTCTTGAATAACGCAATAAGCCACTACTAAAGTAGTACTTAAAGATTTTAAAGCAGTAATTCCCAATTGGCTCACCTGCCTCTTCTAAATAGATATTATCTTATTCACTTTTGTGCCCACCATTTGATCCCATTTAGCTTATCTTCATTAAGTATCCCCATTGAATTTACAAATGTAGAGTTTTAAATTGTTGTGCACCTTTATGTGTTGTGTTTATTTCTTGGTATGAATCCTTTGAGGACTTTTTATGTCATACTCTTTTTTTGTTTTGTAAAAAACCATAATAAAACTTAATAATGAATTAAGTTATAATAATATTGATATAATTAGTAATTTATTTTCAGACTATGCTAGCAGCCTTCCGTGTGTTTGATTTACGAGCGTTAATGAGTTTTGCTGGTAGAAGCAAAGCAGGAAAAAAATCAGAATTGCATCAAAGAGCTGTAAATCTTCTTAAAATCAAATCTCCTAATATACAAAACAAGATAACAGAAATATATAAATCAATCCAGTAAGTAAATACATAAGATCCAAATAGTAAGACTTTTTGAGACATCTGCCAACACAAATAAGCGTAATTTAGACTAGAAAAATCGTAATAAGGAACTTAATTTCCATAACAAGCTTTTTTTAAGTATATATATTTAAAAAGTATTTGTTTTTGTAATAAGGTGTATATAATAACATTTAACACGTTAACTCCTGGTATTTATTTTACATAAAGCCTGTTTGTCAAAATTTTCGTTTTAGGTAAAATGCCACGAAAAAAATCTAACCTCAATAAGCATGTAGTAAAGAGACAAGATGTAAACATATTGCAAGAGCTAATAGATTAGGCAAACATACTGTCCAAATAAATGAAGATCAAATAATTAGGTCAGAAGACCAGTATTTATATAATTAACTCTTTATATTTTTTCTCCAATCCTAAATCCTAATATAAATTATAGATCATTAAAGATTAGTCTTAAATTTCATACTGAATGAAATTCTTGATTCTGAGTTTCATAAGAGATAGAATATTAACAGGATTAGATATTTTTCAACATTTAAAAAAGTTAAAAACAACACACTGCATTATAGCACCATCAAAAATGTGCATTTTAATCACAGCATGATACTATAACAAGAAGAATTGAGAATTCAACGCGCATGTTCCTGTGACGTAAGTCCGAGACAACTTTAATGGTGGCAAGTTAAATGATCATAAGTGTTTATGTTAATTATGTTGCTGTGTTAATCGAGTTTGCTATCCTGTGTATTTCAAAACGTAGTGAATGATATGTTTATTCATTGATATAGTAAAGACTTTGTATATTATATTGTTATATAAATTTTGTGGTGAAAACATTCAGTTTACTCGTACGCAACTTCCTCTCGACTACCTGTAGCTACTTTATAAAGAAGACTAATAATTATTTGTTTGCCATAATGTATTGTGCAGTGGTGGGTTGTTTAAACAATAATAATAAAAAAAGTAAAACTTTTTCGACATATCGTTTTTTTGGGTTTCCTAAAGACAAACAAATACGTAAAGTATGGGTCTCCAAGTGTTTTCGGCGAGAGAAATTTAATGTAGAAACCGCGAGAATATGCTCAAAACATTTTACAGAAGCTGATTATTGTTTAAAAGAAAAACTATTGGGATTGCCTGACAAACGGTGGAAGTTAAGAAAGGATGCCATACCTTCTCTTCATTTAATAAAATCCCCAAGCGCTAAAACATCGCCTGAAAATAGATGCAAAAGAAGAATGGAGAAAGGAAATGTATTAAGAAACATGTAAGTATTTTGGTAAGTATTTTAATAGAACTTGAAGTAATACTTTATTTTTGATAGGTCTTTAAAAAATGTTACTTTGGATGTATGTAATATGTAGTGAACTGGAACATATGTTTCGTATCTATAATGGCCACACATTAAAAATAACAAAAAATTATTTAAAAATCTTCATAGAAGCTGCAAAATATGTAAATGTTAGCGAAGATGAAAAATTACTTTTTTTTAGATGTAAAATGTACCTATTTTAAAATATGAATTCTAAATAAAAATATTAAAGATAATTACAATATCCGCAAGAGAAAAATCACAAAGATTGTAAAATAAATGTCCTATTGATATTCATAAAGTCTCAAGTATAACCGGCTTTTCCTTTATGGCCAAATTCTTTACATTTTACCGGCCATTTTTATTTAATTTATGTTTTGTAGCAATATTTATTTTGTTTGTAATACACACAATCAAATCTTAGATTCATATATTTCTTAATTAATTTTACAAATTACTTATTAATTTTCAAACCACGTTTTCACAGAAAGTAACTAGTTATGACTAGTGCAAGATGTGGCATGGAGGTATACTTACCGTTAACAGTTTAAATTTCGAAGTTGTTCATTACAGTAATGGAACAACGTTGCCATATGATGCATCGTTAAAATATGATACAAGTCCCCTGGCTTTGTCTCGCTATGTAGTCATGCACAAAGTCAATTAAAATTAGAACAGCAAGTGAGCATATCTTGTTTGTTATAATATGACACACTTGATTTGATTACAGACAAGTGTTGTAACAATAGAAATGTGTGCTCTACTTTCTAATTGTCCTAATAAAATTTGATAAACAACTATTTTAATTTATTAAATAATTCTTAAGCCGTTTTATCAATCTAGGATATATTTCATGTCACAGAAGATTTCAGATATAATTCTCAGTTCTTCATGGCTTCTATTATTTTGCAGCAAATATTTACCACTTGATTGGTGTAAAGGCAAGAAGCGCACTGTATAATTATTTGTCTAGATCGAAATCAAAATGGGAATCTGATGGTACTGAGACAACCAATGTACCTTGGCCAAATTCCAGACCCAGACGGGCTGATAGCCAGGCCAAGGTTCTTCAAGATTTTATCCAGGCTGATTTGAAAAATCGTCTCTTTGCGATGTTAATTACTTTCTCGTGCTCTCTGATGATCTTCTCCTCACATAATCAAACTCTCGGTCGACGATTGGATTCTGCTTCTCGGCTTTTGTCAATCTAAATAAATTATTCGATGTTGTTTATTATAATCGACTCTTTTAAGACGCAATTATTACAGAGAAAGCGTTTTACTCAACGCAATTTGAAAATAAACACTTCAATTTTGTTTATTCTCGTTCAAAAATATATCTCAAATTAAAACCTTATAGAATACTATATACCTTACAAAAAAATACAAAATTGGATTTGAAATACGTGAAGTAAAACTTTATACGGAACGAGACAATTAAAGTGCTACAAAATTTTATCTCTAAAACACTTACAAAGCTATTCTTTAAACTGAAACGAATTATTTAAAACAGGCTTTTAGATTTGTTCTAAATTACTGCTATTGACACTATTTAATATTAAACTAAAACCAAACTAATTCACTTTCGCGTTTAATGATTATTTTTGTTTGTACTTTTAGACAGGAACTTTCAAATGATACTTCTGGAGCTCCTGTTAATAGTATGCCACAACAGGATAACGTTCCGACAAGTGTTCAGTCTTACGGTGTCGACGGCAGGCAAATGACTGTAAGTACCCATATCTTTAGTGTCAGATTATAAAAATTATTCCGATAACAGCAGTACACCTAAAAAACTCTTGTAAATATTCTATTGTTTTGGAATTATCAATTACCCAAGCTGACAGAATCGGCTTGGGTCCTGGAATTTATATAGTTTTATTATTTCTGATAATTATAGATAGTTGTACGATGATAAATTAACATTAAGGTCTAGCGCCCACGGCGTTACTGATTTAAAACAACGGTTGAAAACTAATTTCATCTGCAATCAGTTTACAACCTAAATAAAACCTGTCTTCGCCCACGAAGTGACTAGTTTTGGATCAGTTGTGTTTATTTATTCGAGCACTTCTGTGGTTTTACTATGTTGAGTTCCCATGAGGAAGACATGCTTGATTACTATGAGTACTGCAGGGTTCGTAGAGTTTAGAGGGTTTATTGGCCAACTCCCTACTTTTAAAAAAATAATGCAAAATCAGAGAGAGTTCATTGCTTTTTATAGAATGTCAAAAGAATCTGATCTGGAGTTGACAAGATTGTGAGGTCATTAGTCGAAAAAGATTAGTACAAATATGAGTGAAAGTGAATTCAATCATTAGCTTTTAAAATAGTTATTTTCAGTTTTTCTAAAAACAAAATAAAAAAACAGTGTTTTGTTTCATCTATGCCTCAGAGACTTTACTGCGAAAGTAACGAGCCCCCTCTGTCCCTTAAAAGACAACATCTGCTTCTATCATATGCTACCACTACATCAAGCAATCATTTCAACCCTATATACCGTCTTACTACCTCTGTACATGATTACTCAAATAAAAACTCCTTTTGCATAGTTATGGAGCCATTCCCGCAATTACTTGCCCGTCTATTAAAGAACTCTGACTTATCTCTCACTCTGCTCACCATTTACATCAAATATGACACACCCATAGGTGTTCAAAATAATTAATTAAGTAGGACTCTCTGCATCATATTTTTCTTTGTCGTAATGTAACCCCAAATTCAAAAATCCAAAGGAGCCAAGTCCGGAGAGCGAGGTGGCCAACGAAACGGACCTTGATTGGCAATCCATCCAAATTGCAGTGTGGACTTTCCACATTGTGATGTGAAAAATATTTCCATACCGCGATGTAAAGACTTGGTGTTTGATTTGTAAGGATTAAGGTGCTCGTTTAAAGATGACAGCGCGTGGGCTAAGCTCGGTTATTGTTGATTTCGGTTAAAAATTTGTGGTTTATCTATGTGTTTGTTTATATGCAATAACAGAATATATCGCTCATTATCTATATACAGCGTTTAAATGATACTTGTTCTCCTCAACCTTTATACCCATTTGATTTTTGATACCTTGTGTTTGTTTATCGATTTATTTTAAAAGCAATAATAACGAATTTTTGATTTAACATAGAATGAATAATTATTGTTTGGTTTCAGCCTGCTGCCCAACCGACTTTGTACCAAACAAATATGTATTCGCATTACCCCCAATATTCCCAAACTAAGCACCAACAAAATGTTATGGCTTATCCCATTCACCCAGACGTGAAGTTCCGAAAGTTACCATTTTATGATGTTCTAGCTGAAATATTGAAACCTTCCTCGTTAGCTCCTAGTAATAATCAAAGGTAAGATATGTCAATCTAATTTTGAAATTAAATGAGGAGCTTTTTTACAAACTACATAAATCCACTTTTAAAAATTTTTCAGACGTAAAACCGTGCTGCAGTTGATGTACTAAAATTTTCGAAATTTCAGAGAACGTAATCAATTGAGGTTAGATTTAGAGAAATGTTATAAATAAAATTTTAATTAACATTATTTTTATTGATTTGCATTATTAAAATATAGCCATATGTCTGTTGGAGATATCGCGTTTTGCATTTTGCAAACTAACAATAACTTAAATAAAAAATATTAAACGGTACCCACTGAAACAAAAAAAAATAGGAGGAGTACAAAAAATTTAGATGTGAACATTTTTTGGCTCATCTTCCAAGCAATCACACTCGCCATCATGATAGTTGTGGGTTTCTGGATCTGGATCACTAGCAACTTTGTGTTGAAGGGCATTAATATATCAATGAAGATCAGGGATCTCTTTCCAATTTTGTTCAAAGTGGGTTTGCAATAAATGAAGGACATGTTTTTTTCTCTTCAGTCACGGAATGAGATAGTGGGATTTGGGGAAGAGCCTGAAGAAAATCATTTTTATTTTTTTACAATGCTTCTAAAAGTTTCTGTTCCACTATCGAACTTAATCTTGTTTTGATTTTCTTAATAAAGAGGCGTTTGGTTTGGCTGATTTCCTTTTATTTTTTGATAAATCATTTCAAGGCTTTTGGTATCGTATATTACCCAGTTTTGTCCCAGTTTCTGTACAGAGCCAAACTCCTCGTAATAGAAGCATACTCTTTACTCGAGATGATGGTATCAGTTTTTTTCAAGCGTTTCTCCACATGGCCAAAAGCTCGATCAGCTGGAAGAAAACTGTAGCCACGAGTCAGAAAGGTTTCTGAATGAATTTCTGTGCATTTTCTGGAGCCATATTTTTAAGCCAATGGCACAAAACATAAACAATATGACCATTTTTATTTTGGCCAGCACATCATCACAAAACAATGATACAGCAGAAGAAGTCGAAAGATCTTGGCGTCTTAAGTGATGGATGAGTGCAGATCCGATTTCATTTGCTCCTCTGCTTCCCTGCGTTTCATTCCACGTATAAAATGTTGGCGCCTTTAAGTCAATAGGCACACAGCAAAATGCATAGAAACATTTTATATAACTTATTTACACTTAGCTCTACTGAAAGGTAAACTATTCTTACTTTTTTCTCTTGCATAATGAGATTCGACACAATTTAGTTTACCAAGAAATTGACGGACTGCTTCCTTTTTGGTTTTGAAAAAATCTTCTCGTCGATAACCACCTCTATTTTCTTTGGGCAGCTGACCTTGATTGACGACCTTTCCAATCCGCAGTAGTCGAGAGGCAGGTACACCCATTGACAAAGCAAAAAACTATTTACAGCAGGAATCATGCGTTTCTGTTTCTGATTATTGAGAAAAATTTCACAGAAAGCTTTCTTGTGTGAGTTACAGAGACAGGCGCACCACTTCCCCTTCTTGGGGCTCGAAAGCAGATGTATATATATTTCATCAAAACAAGATCTTGTTTCTCTTTACCCTCTGCCATGTAGACTGCTTGTCGATTAATTTTTATATCATCGTAGGATACCGTAGCACAACGAAGATTTTCGAATTATGGGCACATGGTCTGGTCTTCTGTTTTAGAAACACTAAATGAGGATCACTTTCGTTGTACTTCATAATTTTTGAATGCTCTCTCTCACTTGTTTTGATGGATCGCCTTTTTTTAGATCCCACCGATAAGTTAGCAACACTATCAATCTCAAAATAAGACGCAAAACACAGAAACCACGTTAACATACAACGAATTCACAACATTCCGTCTCATCGAACGGAAAAGTACTGATAATATCATACAGCGCATGCTGGCATGGCGTGGCTACGGTACACACTGTCAGTGCGACTCGTGAGTAGTAAAGTAGAAGTTTTTTTAAAGTAGAACTTTTTTTTTAAATAGTAGAGGGATAGTTCTGCAGGCGGGAGGATTTATGCAGTTTTGTAAAACAAAAACTAATTTTAATGGTTAGCTAAAGAAGGAGATGTTAAGTTTTGTATAAAAAAAAGAGTGAACATGGGGTAAATGTTTTTGAGTAGATTAATTATTAAGTTTTGTGGAAGAAACGTGATTTTTTAGGCTCATTTTAATGAAAAATATTAACTTAACACATGAGACTTATACACAAGATCTAAGGCAGTATTTTAGCCAGAAATAGTTTTATGCAGTTTTGTAAAAAAGCTCTTCAAATATGGTGCAAGAGCACAAGTTGTTCAATGCTCCGTGTATGAATCGGTATCATTAGAGTCTTATAACGCGTTTATTTATGCATAACCTTGCTTCGTCAGAGACTTCGGCTTCGGCTAGCGAACGTGTCTGCTTATTTTCCACCTGAAGTGGTAGGTATAAAAGGTGCCATCTACTTTGATGGATATTTATAGAGATAATTTATTTTATTTTCAAACTTTCTAAGTTTAAAAGTAAAAAAATTATAGGATCTTTATTACTTCGGACAAACTTTGTTTGCACCCTTCTTTATACAAACAATCTGGACACACTGCAGACTTCTGTCCTAACTCTCAAAAAATATCTAGACATCACTCTCCAGATATAACTTCTAGCCATATCCCAGTTGATCATCCTTCTAATATGTCTCCTCCTTCGCTCTCCTCAAAAGAAGAAATCTGCAAATAACACTCCTACTGACAGTACTGACTTACTTGTCAATTCCAAAATATCAGTCTCAAGCAGCAATATATAATGAACCTCTAAGAATACATATATTCCTTTTAACTCTTGCATCAAAAGAACCCATTCTGCTGACACAAGTCTTGAATCACCTACTTTATCGGTTCTTCCCTAGCCCCCCAACTTTAAATCCAAAAATGCACTACCTACCACAGCTTTCGTAACTCCTAAATAAACTCCTAAAAAGAAATCAATAACTGATTATAAAGAAATTGGTAAAATAAATCCCACATACTTTAATTATTAGAACTAATGTTAAATACAACGAAACTTTTTTATATTATATATTGATTTTGTTTCTAGAATGCAAGAAGCCCACTTTAGATTTAGTTTATCTCCGCAGCAGTCAAGTGATATAGCCAGCAGTAGAGATACTAGACCTGGAACAACCTGTGATTATTTAAAGCAAGTACAACTACGATTTTGCTTGTTGGAAACAAGCTGTGAACAAGAAGATGCTTTTCCCCCTTGTATATCTGTTAGAATAAATAATAAGATTTGTCCGTTACCTGTAAGTACTTTTCAGCGTTACGTATTTTAGTAGATATCAAATTATACCGATTTAACCTCTTCATTATTGTGTTATTTGTAATACATTGCAATGTTATTTGAACGCATCCGTATTTTTGGATATTACTTATTCATGTAGTTAAAGGCTAGTTATGGACCTCGCATAATATGAGATGTCAACTGTAATATTGCAATAAAACTCTGAGAAATGTCCACCCGTTTCCCAGCGAAAGGATACTTAGGGGGTTCTGGAAACAGAACTCGACTCTGCCTACTCTCACGTCCTCGAAGACATATATGTCACGTAACCGTCGGATATATGACATACAATGGATGTGCGTTGTATAGTAGCGGTGAGAGGGTGAAAAGCGAGTTTCTTAGTAGAGAGACCTGGCAATATAGCTGTAGAGTTACTTAAAGCAAGAGGTCCACTCCTCATAGAACGAATAACTTTTCTAATAAATCAATGCTGCCAACAAATTAAAGTACCATCTGAATGGAAAACCGCTTACCAAGTGTCCAACTTTAAAAAGGTTAGAGCTACTAACTAGAGTTCTACAAGATGATATAGAACATCTTTAGCGAAGACCAAAGTGGATTTACGCCTGGTAGATCTTGCACTGATAACTTGTTTATACTCCAACAATTAATAGAAAAAAAATGGCATTTGGTATCGAAGTACATCTAGCTTTCATCGACCTAGAAAAGGCGTATGGTACAGTTCCAAATCTTAAAGTATACAGGGATTACACTACATACCTAAAAATCGGAAATGGATTATCAGAGCCAATAAAAGTAACTAAAGGACTAAGACAAGGATGCGGTATGTCACCCTTACTGTTTAATTTATATATTGAGACAGCCCTCCAAAATTAGAAAAACCACTGCCAGGGAATGGGAATCCCTGTAAGTGAACCTCTTCCTCCCTGAACTTTGCGGATGACCAAGTCATCCTAGATCAAGATTCTTATATTCTTAAAACGTCTATACAGAGAATATGTAAAATAGGGCTTACGTCAGCATGAAGAAAACTATATTTAGTTATCAATTCAGATGCAAGGTTTGCAGTGTTGATAGACCAGGACGTGGAGATCAAACAAGTGGAAAAAGTTAAATATTTAGGTACACTCATTGATAAGTACGGCTTGGGAGAAACCGAAATTAAACACCGAATTAATCAGGACGTAAAATTGTAGGATGTCTGAACTCCTTATGGCGGGATCGCAACATTTCCAAAAGGAACAAAAAAAGAATAGGGCAAACCATGGTTGAATCAGTTCTTTGTTATGGCTCTGAAGTATGGACAATTAATGCAGACCTGAAGAGAAGATCGTTGGTAGTTGAAATAGATTATTTGAGAAAAAGTGCTAGAACATCAATGCTGGAAAGAAAGACCAACGAATTTTTAAGAAATAACATGAACGATACAGAAACGGTCAATGACAGAGTAGAAAGAAGAGATTTAAAATGGTTTGGGCACCTATTGAGAATGCCTGACGAACGTTGACCCCAAAAACATGTCTTTTAGATAAATAATGTTCTCAAATTTGGTTTTAAAATCGACAATGTCTTTCATTTCAAAAACCTTTGTTTTAAGAATTATTTCATGTGTTTTAATATCTTGAATGGTTTTATTGAAGTTATCTGTGATTTGTTGACTGAGGGAATATTGATCTGAAGTATCTGATATTCTAATTTTATTTGATTAGTTTTTCAAATTTTCTATAGAAAATGTCACACCGAGAGTGCAGTACGGCTAATATAGGAATGCATAATTGCCGGATTTCACGCCTTGTGCTTGGCGATACAAACAGGTCCAAGTGGTAGTCACAGAACCGTACCCAGATCTCTACGCTGGGCTCTGTTATGTATTATAAAATAATATATTAATAAAATAATTGCCTTCAAGTAGCCAAATAAGAGGCATTAATTTGAATAAAAAGATCTTAAGTTTTTTGCGAGAATTTTATTATAAAACTGTATACTTTATTAAACTAACAAATGTATTTTAAATTACATTTCTTGATAACTATAAATATACCGGGTGGAACCTCCGGTAACTCGATTTCCGTGCACCCAGCCCAATATCCAAGAAAAACTTTTTCTTTTGTAAATATGTGAAAAAATATCAGGAACGGGAATATCGAAAAAGCTTTGCACATTTTTTAATCCCGGCGATGTTATAAAAAAACAAGTTGCGCACTTCAATCACTGCGAAATTTTAACACCTATGAAAATTTTTTTTGTGGAAATCTGAAGTGCAGTTTTTGTCCTTGTTAAAACATAATGCAGTCTCGCATTTTTTACACACAACATAAGTTTACCTAGTTCCTTGGCATAGCAACCTGGTAGTTTTCAGCGAAACCTTGTGTTATTTCATATGGGATAATGGTTTTCCTTGTCCACACTTGACCAGATGAGCAGGTATAAGGTTTATAGTGTAAGTTATTTAACATTAATTATATTTATACTTTATTAAACTAAGAAATATATTTTAAATTACATTTCTTGATAGCTATAAAATATACAGGGTGGAACCTCCGGGAACTCGATTTCCGTGCACCCAGCCCAATATCCGAAAAGCCCATACTCCGATTGGACTGGTAAATGCATTTTATTGGTTATACAGTGTAAAATAATCGAGGTTACTCGCAGATATTCAATTAATTATACTAAAGTCGTCCTCTACATCCGAGATGTCGGATTCGCTTTCGCTACTCTCCCCTGTGTTCGCGTGTATTATCAATTGGTCTATGTCATCTTGCAGGTTGTCCGCAGTCCACATCTCAGTTTCCGTTTTCTCAACAACATGAGTGACATAATTGCGCCAATTTTGCTTTGTGGCGCATGCGAAACCGTTGTCGATTAACTGGCGTAACTCGTCGTTTTTAAAAGTGGTATTATGGGTACCTACATATCGCTTAACTTGATTCCACACCATTTCTATAGGATTCAATTCGCAGTGGTATAGAGGAAGCCTTAAAATATCAACATTATGTTCTGAAGCTTACTCATCAAGATGATACTTATCGTATTGATCTTTAAAAGCACGCTCTGTTTCTAATAGCTCGGATTTCAAATAACACTCCTCGAAAAAAATGTCGTTTTCCACTAGTCATTCCTTGATTGCAGCTTTATTCTAGGAATTGTTAGGGAATCTAAAATGGAATTGGGAATTGTAAATGCTTCTTTCGCTAACACCAGTCATCAACGAAGTACGTCTTACAGCAGCACTTACATTAAGTTGTTCCGTATTATTCCGGTAATTCACCGGATTTAAACTCATGGGACTCCATGCTCCCTGTTTAAACTCGGACTAAATTTTGAAGTGTAGTTTCGTTTTCCAAAAGCCCTTTCACCCCTACCCATCCATAGGATGGTAGGAGTGAAATAGGGAAAGCTTGGAGTTTATCAAATACTAATTGTTACAAACAAGTTTATGACCATATTTAGGTGATTATGTTAATGATGGTAATTTGTAGCACAAGTTTTACAAAAGAAATGAAGACCTATTTTATAGAAACAACATAACTGTATTTTTAATAATTTACATACAATAGAAAAAATCTAATTTCTATGAAAGAATTGGAAATTTGAATATTATATATAATATCTATAAATAATATCATTTCCAAGTTTCCAAATTCTTTCCTAGAAATTATGTAGGTTTTTTCTATTTTATGTAAAACATTAAAACTACAGTTATTGTATGTTGTTCTTGTAAAGAGGTGTTCAAATGTTACTCTTATGAATATGATTCAATTGTATATCTCATGTTGACGTTTTATATGCAAAATTCATAGTTTTCGTTGTCAATAACTCATCAATGACTTTTTATTCTACTGTATACGTATACATGATATAAAAATATTTTACTCGTACTGCCGGCAGATGCATTTTATCGAAGCCGGTCCTGTGAGACAATGAGCAATCAACAGCTGGAGAAAAACCGACAAACCCTGCGCGTTTATTCTCCATAAGAAAAGCATTGCCGTATCTTTCCCGTACTGCACTCTCAGTGTGACATTTTCTATAGTATTAAATTTATCTTCTCGTCATCTTCGGCGTCTAAATTTCCTGTGATTTCTTTTACTATTGAACCAAAGCCGTTAATCAAACCTCTTTTCCTTCCAAGGCCTGAATAAACCCATAGGCATCGCTGTATAACATATATGTATATACTGTATATAGTATATATATATATATATATATATATATATATATATATATATATATATATATATAAATGGTTGTTTACTTAAATGTTAAACAACACGTGGTTAAGCCAGATTTTGTTTGTAATTATTGCAGCAAATAATTATAATATATACCTTTTTGCAGAACCCCATTCCGACCAATAAACCAGGTGTAGAGCCTAAACGCCCACCACGCCCTGTAAATATTACTGGAATGGTTAAATTAAGTCCTACAATTGGAAACCATATATCTGTATCGTGGGCCGCAGATTTTAATAGAGGATATGCTCTAACTGTGAGTTTAGTTCAGAAACTAAGCTCTGTTGAATTACTTCAAAGACTGAAAAGTAGAGGATCAAAAAATGCTGAATATACAAGATCCTTAAGTAAGTATTTGATTAGCTTTCTTTGTTATTTATATTATTGGAATTTTGGGTAAGGACCCAATCTCTGAAGAAAAACAATCTCTTGAGTGACAACCTTATGAACTTTAAAACGCTTCTGCCTTAGTTTAAGTCTTTTTTTACTCTTCATATTGTTTATTTAATAAATTTTAAAGACTTTTTCAACGAAATAAATCTTTCTTTTCTCTTTTTTACCAGTGAATTTCATTAGGACAAAATCTCCTTCAGGTGTTCCTCTGCAGATTCGAAAAATTGGCTGGGTCAATTTTAATAAAAGATTCATCCCTTGATAATGAACCTAGTAGTGGCTCTTCTTAGGAGGTTTCGGAATCTTCAGCAAATACTTTATTCTTAATGTTTTGTACTTCCTGTATCTTAGATCTCCCCTTTCCCTTTTTTTTGTCCTGTATCTTTCCTCTATTGCCTCTTTCTCTGGGGTGTCATTCCATCACAAGTGTATCCAATGGTGTAGAAATATTTGTAATAAAAAAAATCTTTAATAAACATACTGTATTTTTGACTAAGAAAATAAATTTTAGTTAAAGAGAAACTCAACGACGATGGCGACGAAATAGCAACTACGTCTTTAAGAGTTTCCCTAATGTGCCCTCTCGGTAAACTGAGAATGACCACTCCTTGTAGGCCTATAACCTGCATGCATTTACAATGTTTTGATGCCTACTTATTTCTGCAAATGAATGAAAAGAAACCCACTTGGAGTTGTCCCGTATGTGATAAGCCTGCATTGTACGATGATTTGCGTATAGATGGGTGAGTACAGTATTATACTAAATGTATGTTTTTCTTAATATCTCGGAAATACCACTAATATTAAATTATACAATAAAATTCGGTTAAGTGTACGTACACCTAAATTTGAACCGTATTTCTCCCGATCCGATATCGGGCGACGTCGGCCGACGTCGGATTGAAAACAAACTCAAAGTATTAAATCATAGTGCCTATACTGCTTCCAAGACGAAGCAAAGCAGTATAGGCACTCTGATTTAATACCTACCTTGAATTTGTTTTTAATCCGACGTCGCCAGATATCGGATCGGGAGAAAATGCGGTTCCAATGTAGGTGTACACTAACTTTAATAAAAGTACAAGATAGAAGTGCGCGAAGATACCAACAAAACGAAACAGATGCTAAGGGTTTGCCGAAATGAAAACCCTAAGAACAATAATGGGGAAAACAAGAAGGGACAGAGTGAGAAATACAAACATTAGAGAGCAGTGCAAAATTCAAGATATTGTAAGATGGGGAAGACAGCGCAAGAGGATGTGGTACAACCATGTAAGACGAATGGATGAGAATAGACTCCCAAAAATTGCCCTAGAAAACAATCCGCCTGGTTCAAGACCCCCCGGAAGACCACCTAAAAGATGGAGGGATAGTTGGCAATCTACCTCCCAAGAAATTAACCAGAGGCAGCTTCAGAATTAAACAGATCGAAAGATCTACAAAAAGTAGAAGAAGAAGAAGAAGACAAGCTGAGTGTAGCCGCAAATGTCATTCATGGAACAAAATATTTCGGTTTACCAGTGATGGAATGATTTTAAAATACATTTGTTGTATGCTTTAAATATAAAGAGAGAAAGTTTTTAAAAAATATATTTTGACTATATTATTTTATGAATTCTGCAATTTTTAATTTATATAAAACAATAACGAGTAAATATTCGTCATTTTTATTTCTTAGATATTTTACGGAGGTTCTGAACTCTCCAATTCTTCCTTCAAACTGTAACGAAATGCAAGTGAACAAGGATGGTACCTGGTGTGTCCAAGCCAATGAAAAACGACTTGCAAAAGTTGAAATTGATGACTCTATAGAAATATATGATATTAGTGATGTTGGTAAGTAAAAATCTTTGCATTTTTAAAAGGATATTCATAAAAATATTTATAAATATATATAAAATATATATTTTATTAACTCAAGTTCAAATTATAATATATCCAAAAATGAAGAATAATAAGTAATTTGTTTGCTTACACAGCGTGTAGGAGCCTCTTTCAGTGGAGATTCTTTTCCAGTAATTAGTAACTGTAAATGTTACTAATTTATTAAGAATAGTTGAATTAAAAAGTATGTAAAAAGCAATAAAATAATAAACACAATCACAACTATATATCCCATAATTAATTTAGATTTTAAAATACAGTTGGTTTTGCTTAAACATTGAATCTGTTAACGAGTATATTAGGATGCACTTTGATCCGTTCACCATATTTGAGACTGTAACTTGTTGCAACTTATTTTACCGAAGATCTTTTTCTATAGAGGAGGATCTAACATACCATGGGGCATTTACTATATACCTTAACACTTTATTCTGAAACCGTTGGAGGAATGCGAGATTAGAATTAGCAAGCCCATATATCCATAACGGCTTGAGGATCGCCTTATATATAAGCAGTTTGTTATCCAATGTTAATTTAGAGTTTCGACCAATCAACCAGTACATATGTACTGGTGTATAAGTATTTTTTGTCTCACTTGGTCTCATATAATCTAATTATCCATTTTGTAAATGTTCTGCAGTGCAGTGTCGTCTGCAAAAGTAGTAACTTCTGTGTTACCTACTACTGGATGGAAGTCTGCAGTGGACATTAATAATAAAATAGGTCCTAGTACGCTTCCTTGTGGAACATTTGCTTTGATAGAGTGAAGCTGCTTTACCAGGAAGTATCTATCTGATAGGTAGGATTTTATTAGTGAAAAGAAAGGATATGGCAATTGTTTCTTTATCTTATAAACTAGGCCTTCATGCCAAACCTTATCGAAGGCATCTGCTATCGAATTCAACCCTCTACACTGTCCCTACACTCACTGTCGTTTCCTTTCCTTCCTTTTCATTGGTCAAAACAAATATGCTTCTTTCTTCATTTCAACGTCTTCAAATTTCCCAGTCGTAAGTACTTTAACATTTTATAGGAACTCCAAATTCCCAACTGTTTTCAAACAACATTTTTCGTTAATCTTACGTTCAAACATAAATTGTTCTTAAATGCACTTCAAAATCAACAAACAATTCCATGATTAATATCGATTAGATTACAAATATGTTAAACTTTATACTGGGTAAAACCAATACCTATGTTAACAATAGACAGACAAACAGGTATTTTACATTTTAAATGAAAGAAACAAATATTTTTTAAATAACTACTTTAACGTATTACAAAATGATAGATTTTATTATATATAATTTTATTAATTTTATTATATAATATATATAAATATATATATATATATATATATATATATATATATTTAGTAAGGACTTTTACGCCTTATTTAGCATTGTAACATTTGAAACCAGTGAGTCACAAGACAAGTAACTTGAATCTTTATTTATCTTGAATCAATATCTGTAAACTATTACTGATTTTACTTTCAGAAATAATCTGCTCAGATACCACTGACGCTGACGCCACGACTATCTGTGCTAATAGACTCGAGCAAATGGTAACACCAGAAGAATCCAGGAAAAGAGACATAGTAGATCTCACCTATTCGAGTTCTGAAGACGAAGAACCAGCCCCTAAAGTCAGAGCAATATCGCCTAAACCAGGTAGGTCTACGCCATCAAGAACGCTTAGGAATAAACCTAGGGTATGTTACGCTGAAGTTGAACCGGACGGATAATGAATGACTCGTTTTATGTTAATATTAATTTTTTTTGTAAAATAATGAAGACATAACAAGAATTTTTGTAAAAATTGTGTTTAGTTACATTTTAATTTTATTTACTATTTGAATATTTTAGGAATAAATATTTTATACAACCTGATAGATCTTCTCATACATACCACTTTATAGTAGGCCTAGAAATAAATTTGGTCTCTGTCTAAAAGCCCATATAATTCTGGTTTTATGTTTTATAAAATCAATTTACTAAATATAAATTTTGGCAACACGGATATTCCGATAATTTACCTCATATACACGGAATCCTCATCAAATTGACAAAGAAAATTTATTCAAGTAAACTGGATCACAGTCAGTTAACGTGTTCGCAGTAAAGGTGACACAAGGGCAGAAGTATTGATGAGCGTTTCCTCCGCTATTTGTTTACTGGAACATGGTCAATCACCACATCTTGTCATTTATATCTTCTTCAGTGATATCTCCTTCACGTTCATTATTTCTATAATTCGTTAATTTCGTACCTTATTCATTAGTGGTAATCTGCAGCTTCTTCTACGAAACATAATTTCCATTGCATATTCTGTTCCATTCTTATTTCATTCTTTTATTTGTCTACCAAGTCTCTCGAGACACAAAGTGAGCAGCTTTCCACAATTGTCTCGAGTGTAATTGCCGTGGTATCTCTTTCCTTTCTTTATTTTATTGATTATATTAGTTTCAACTGATGCTGTATTTCTTAAAGTTACTCCCAAGTATTTATATTCGTTTGTTTGTTTTATTTAGTTGTTATTCATCTCCAGGTTTTATGCAGTGTTTCAAATGACCATGTATTGGATTTTATTGTATTTATTGCTTCCAAAATGTTCTTCCAGCTTTTGTATCATGTAGGTGATGTAAAAGGTATAAATATTTGTGGACAACGCTTGAACCATCTAAGGTACGTTGATGACATCGTATTGATAACCGATAAAAAGGAAGAATTGTTTGAAATGATGAAAGAACTGGACGTAGAGGCTGGAAAGGTAGGCCTTAAGATGAATTACAGCAAGATCAAAATCATAACAAATACCGATGAAGACATCACAATGAGGATCGGACAAGATGAAATAGAACAAGTTCATGATAATATATATCTGGGCCAAACTATAAAACTTAACAAAGAAAACCAAACAGCAGAGATAAAAAGAAAGTTAAGACTGGCATGGGCGGCATTTGGCAAACTAAGCTACATTCTTAAAAACAAAAGATATCCACAGCATCTTAAGACCAAAGTATACAACATGGACAAAATCATAAAAACCCAAAGAACAATGGAAAGACAAATGTTACACATAAGACTAATGGATATAAAGAGAAACGAGTGGATAAGAGAGAAAACAAAAATGAGGAATGTTAGACAAGAAGTTGCAAAATGGAGATTTGCCGGACACAATATAAGACAAAAAGAAGACCGATGGAACAGAAGTCTTATAAAGTTGGACAGACAGAAAAGAATGGAAAAAGATTGAGGAGGCCTATGTCCAAAGATGGACCGAAAAAGGCTAATTAATTAGATAGATAGGTGATGTCGTTTTCGACTTTGTCTTCTGCTAAAATTATTTGATTATCGGCAAACACAAGGATGAATATATTTGTTAATTTTTCTCTACTGTTTTATTTTCTTCTATCTTTTTGAACTCCTGTAATCATTTTTTTTTTTTTAATTTAATTGGTAATTTCCCCTTCTAATCGCTTCTTCTGCTGCTAGGTGTATGTGGATTTTCATGTTTTCAGATCGTTCTTCATTTGTTACTCCTCGTATATCTTTCGTTTTTATGCTAGTCCCAATGTATAAAGAAAAAAGATCGACTGGTTCGTCGTTTAGTTTATATGTAGGGTACCTTTTTGATCCAAGGAACTTCTTCTTGATATGCCTATCCGTTATAAATGTTGGCGATCATCATGGCAATCTTTATCTTATCCGCAGTAGCGCGGAAAAGCTGCACAGATGTTGTATTGATGTTTTCCAAATATTTTTCCTTGCAGGATGGCTTGAAGGAGAGTACTTCTTGTAGGTCTTCTAACTTGTCCGCAAATATTATGGTGTCATCTGAGACCAAGAACAAGAACTTTTAATAACAAAAACTCTTTATAGGTATTAACATTTTTATTCGAGAATGTTAAATTTATTAACTAAATGACAAAATTCGGCAGAATTGATAACTCTTTTACATTACCAATATAAAATATTCTCTCTGTATGTCTCATTTGAAAGTATAACATGCCATATTAAATAATATATGTTCAGTTCTTCGCATTCCTACATTGTAGATTTTAATGGTAACATTTTTATATATTTGAAAATTTCCTAAAAAAGGTGACTTTTTATTTTGGTTGAAAAAATGTATTTATTCATCAATATTTGTCCTCTCAGATATAATACAAGCGTAAGAGTGCAATTTCCAGTTCTCGAAGCATTCATATTGCATGCAACATTCGACATCTCATGCTTTTTTCAGTTTTAAGAACAGGAAAAAGTCGCATGTGGCCAAATCCTGTGAATATGGTGGTTGAAGTATAATGAAGGTGCTCTTTTTGACAAGCAACGATGTGTGAACTGACGTTTTATCATGATGTTTCACAATTCCGGGAGATTTTTTTCCGAATTGCTTCACGAAAACAACGCATAGCTTCAAGATAATATCACTTATTGATCGTACGACCTGGATTTCGTCAATGCTTTCGTCAGATGTTGACGTGCTGAAGCGTCCAGGGTGGGCACCGTTATTAATGTACCCTTGCCTTCTGTGAAGACCACTTGTACATGGCAACGAAAAAGCCATAAAGCACTGAGCACGACCAGAAAAAACTGGATCCAAAGACAACGTACTTGCCACTGGGAAAGTATACCCAGTCAAGCGCATGTCAAACTGTATATTGGACGGATATGTGTTAATAGGACTGAAGTGCTGCGAAAACAAGCAGGAATCAGCTCAGAGTCATAACAGGCTTCCTTACTGAACATGTGACAGAGAAGACATGCGTGACACTAGATCGTAGGCGGGAAACAGTTTTGGGAGACTACCCAGTGACTGAAAAAACATATCCACTATGTCTAGGTAACCACTAGACATGTAAAACTGGTATAGTATCCAGAATCCTGAATGGCTGCAGTACTACCAATTTATAATAGTTTTTTTTGCACAAAGTAGATTCGCCAAGTGCCGCAGTGACATGTTAAGTGAGTCGGAGCACTTTTTTTGTACAAAGTTTAATACATTTTGATTATTTTTTTCCATATCACAAAATCGCAAAGTACATCAAAACACGCGCAATCTTTATATCCGTCAAAACAAACGAGAAATGTAAAATAGCTGATAATATCATAACATATGTTGGGAACATGTGTACCAACTAAAACCGAAAAAACTGGATAAAAAAGACAACGTACTTGCCACTGGGAAAGTATACTCAGTCAAGCACATGTCAAACTGTATATTGGACGGATATGTGTTAATAGGACTGAAATGCTGCGAAAACAAGCAGGAATCAGCTCAGAGTCATAACAGGCTTCTGTACTGAACATGTGACAGAGAAGACATGCGTCGCACTAGATCGTAGGCGGGAAACAGTTTTGGGAGACTACCCAGTGACTGAAAAAACATATCCACTATGTCTAGGTAACCACTAGACATGTAAAAACTGGTACAGGGTCCAGAATCCTGGAATGGCTGCAGTACTACCAATTTATATAATTTTTTTTTGCACAAAGTAGATTCGCCAAGTGCCGCAGTGACATGTTAAGTGAGTCGGAGCACTTTTTTTGTACAAAGTTTAATACATTTTGATTATTTTTTTCCATATCACAAAATCGCAAAGTACATCAAAACACGCGCAATCTTTATATCCGTCAAAACCAACTAGAAATGTAAAATAGCTGATAATCTCATAACATATGTTGGGAACATGTGTACCAACTAAAAAAAGTAAAATTTAAAATCGAATATACATAGCCTGCGAAATTTAAAAAGTGACTTTTTTTAATAATCATTATTTTCCAATATATAATTCCAATAATTTTTTATTTAGATATAGGATGAGTATTGTAAAAGTGTGTGTATTTTATTCATTATAGTTAGGTATTTATTTATTTTTTTATCGTTTTGAAGGTCTACGTTGACTAAAAAAATTCATTTCCAACTATAACAAAATCAATTGTACTAATTTGGAATATAAACTTCCAAGAAAATATTACATATAATATATACCGTGCAACTAAACACATTTTATTGGTATTATACCCATTATAGCCTTGAAGGGTATAATCAGTGCGTAATCAACGGATTTTTACAATTATACTAATTTAGACTAGTCGATCAAACAGAGAAACACCTCTTTTCGCTGATCTCGTCATTTTTGTAGTAGTATCTGGAGACCAGATATTGCCTCTCTCGTACCAGGTCCCATGCGAAATTCAAATTGATTTTTGCTCAGGTTTTCCTCGCATTCTGCGTATATACGTTGATGTACAACTCCTAGTAGAATTTTCTGAACTCCTGATAGAATCAGACTAATTAATCTGAACTGTGAATATCTATTTGCTTTATTTTTCTTGGGTATGGGTATAAATGTCGATCTAAGCCAATCTTTTGTGAAGATTCCCATGGTAGATATTTATTTTGTTGTGTAATACTGTTAAGGTCTGAAGATTTTCTTCATTGATATAAGTTTTATCATATCTCTACATATATATCAGCTGGACACCTTTCGTAGCTTTGCCGTATTGAAAGCAATCTTTGATATATTTTCCCATATTTTTGTACATATTCTCGGCTAGATACTAGTTGATTGTTATCATCCACATCAGTTGTAGCCAATTTTTTCTTCATATTTGTGACTTCCTTGGAAATTTCATTCAAAGAAATAAGAAAATATTCGACAACATCAAATACGAGCATTGTAGAAGAATACTATTTCTCCATCTCCCTTGTACAGCTGTAGGATTTGCTATTTTTCAATTTCTGTTTCAATTACTCCAATTGTTCCTGACTTTAACATTGTTCTTACATTTTAAGTTGCTATTTTTGGTCGTTTATTGTTTTTTCTTTATCAATATGTCCATTCTCTTTTTTCTTTGCCTCTTCCATTTCTCTGTTTGTCCCTGTTCGTTTTTGATCCGTTTATTTGACCTTCTTTTTTGTTTCACGTCCACACTTTTCTTTCTTTAGTTACTAAAACTATTTACTTCTTTCTCCCTTTTGTTTGTTATTCCCTGTTTTCGACTTTAACCTCTACGTACCTTCACAAATTTTATCACTGCTTTTTATAATTCCTCTGGTTCATCTTTAACCATTTTTAGTTTTGTGTTAGGACATCTCGCTTCTCTGAATCGCCTCCATTTCTATCGTAATTCCTTTGTTAACTATTTAATCTATTCGTAACTATTTCATCTTGTTTAAGTTTTTGTTTTTCATTATTTCTATCTCTTCTACATTTAGTCTAGTCATCAGACATTTGATCTCTAAAAACGAGACGAGTAAATCAAATTTGCTGACAATGTCAATTTTGTCAATGTCTAAAAAAAACCTCCCGAAGGGGATGACGGAAAACATCGATTTATCAAAAATCTGTAGGCTGTAAAAAATGTTTTAAAAACAAAAATGTAGTTGAGATAATTTTTAACAAAAATGTTTTTAGCACTTTTGTGTAGAATAAACCGTTCTCTCAGAAACAATGCTTGACGCGACCGGCGATTTTAAATGTCAGTTACGTGTGCGCATAAAAGTTTAAATTCAGTGTTTTTTTAAATCATATTTAAAAAACGTTTCACGCTAAAACGTTTCACGCATTTAAAATTCAAAATTTCACGCTATGGATTTTAAAGATTAGTCTCTAAAAATGTAAATTCCATAGTGACCGGTCAATGGAAGGGATAAAGGCTATAGCGGGATAAGATGGTCAAAAGTGCCCCCGCACCAATCAGCACCGCGTCTTGTGCTTTCCAGAGGCCATAGAACCTCTTAAATCTAAAAAAGAAGCTTTTTTCGACTTTATTTTTTTCTGGACGCAATTTTGCTTTAAAAATTCTGAAAAAATCTTTATATTGAAAATTGAACCTAAAAAAAATCGATATTTTCAATAATTTCATAAGTTATGTTAATAATTTTGGACTAACTTTTAAATAGTAATTTTTAATGTATTTTTTTTACGTTGTTTTGAATGGTCAAGGCAGAATTTTTAATTTCTGAGCGGAAAACATCGAAAAATCCATTTTTTTACTCATTTATTTGCACATTATCAAATTCTATTGTAAAAATACATAAAAAATTACTATTTAAAAGTTATTAACAAAAATTATTAACATAACCTAAGAAATTATTGAAAATTTTCAATGATTTTTCCTAAGCTCAATTTTTAATATAAAAATCTGAAAAAAATCAGGCTAATTTGTATTCAAATGATACACCATCATGACTTTTTTCAGATTTTTAAAAGTAAAATTGCGTCCAGAAAAAATAAAGTCGAAAAAAGCTTCTTTTTTAGATTTAGAGGTTTTAGAGGCCTGTGGGAAGCTAACAATTTGTATGAAGTCATGTTTATATACACTTTATCGAAAGCACAGATCGCGCTGCCGATCGGTGCGGGGGCACTTTTGACCATCCCATCCCGTTATAGCCCTTCATTGATATCATGAGAATCGTAAAAAATGGCAAAAATCGCACAACGGTTATGTATTTAACATCTTTATAGAAACTGACTTAATTTGCGGCAAAGTGTAAAAATTGCATACACAAGCTGCACTTTTTTGTTTTGTCGATAGAACACTCTGATCAAAAGATTTTTGATTTTAGATTTAGATTAATTTTTACCGACTTGATATAAATCGCTGGTCGCTTCAATTCTACACAAAAAGTGCTACTAAACATTTTTGTTCAAAATTATCTCAGCTAATTTTTTTTTCTATGGTCCTACGAGGGTGACCCCCGTGAGTAGGAGTGGCAAACTTTTATGCATCTTTTTGTGGTCCAAAAATGGACTTTGTCAGCAAAATTCAGCCTGATAGTTTATGTTTTTTAGAAGTTCAGAGGCATTTTAGAGTAATTTATTCTGTTTTCAGTTCTTCCTTCATTTTGGTCATTAAATGAAACAGATTTTTTGTTCTTTTTTATGTTTCTTTTGTCGTTATACAGGTCTACAGTCTATTAGTTTCGTCTTCTCCTCTTTGTCTCTTGTCCTTTTCTTTCGTCGAGCCTTCTTTATAACCCCATTTGTATAGATATTTCATATTTCTGGCACAGTCTGGCGACTCCTTAATATATTTTATTTGTTGATCAGCACTGTTTGTATTTTTTTCGGGTTTACCCACTATCCGGATAATAATTTCTTTATTTTGTAACATGGAGATAAAAAAGGAAAGTACAAATTTTTTATAGCGGTGACAATAAAGAAGGGGGTGGAAGGAGTAGGCTTCTATATCTTTGGAAACATGAGAGAAACGATGAATTTTAACTCAGAAAATGAAAAAAGACTAAAAATAGTCAAATTGAATTAAATTGGATGGATTCACTAAATCTAATTTCAGTCTACCTTACTAATTTTCCATTTTTGTTGTAGATTCAGCTAGCATCTCATCCAGTAGTAACCAATCTAGGCCAGTTACCACTGTCGACCCATTGTCCGTTTTGAGCTCGAGCCACCCCTTAAGCCCTGTGATCATCAACTTGGATAGTCCCTCACCACCATGTTCACCTTCACCGACACCTCAACCGTTAACTGAGCAAATCGATTTTTCCTCTGAGATAGCCAAACAAGCTGATGAAAATACCACTCCCGATCAGACCACTTCGCCGATAAGTCTTTCAAAAAATGCTTCAACCGAAGAAGTTGAAAATGACCCTTACCTACCTGACGTATCCACAGACTTGCTATTGCTTTAATAAATTTATATCTTGAAAATTACAGTCTTAATTTGTTTTTATTACAGAGGAATAGACTGCATTGTTAAGGGTATGTGTTTAGTTATAAATATAATGTAATATTTTCTTATATTAAGATCTTAATACGTTCTAGGTTTATTTTTAAATAACTCATCGAATTTTTATTGACAGGTACAGCGTATGTAGTAATATATCGATTTGGAGAGTAAAATCTATTAATCAATCTGACTGAGAATGTATGCCAGACAATTTGTTTATTGAGTATTCTTATGTATAAATTAAAATAATCCAAGAGTTATTTCCAAAATGTCTTAAATTCACCAAATGGTGAAACTCAGAAATCATAGATGTTTATTTAAAAAAGAATTAAGTTATAACTTTAAGAAGAGGTCTAATTTTTTAGACCTCTTTTTAAGTATTATATTGTCAATCTACAGATGTATTTATACAAACATTTTAAGTTCTTTGAAAGTCTAAAATTAAAATCACATAACTTGTGACTAATTAAATAATTAATGATTAACCTATACACATAGATTTATTTAATGGTTGAGATGCAAAACTTTTTATAATAATGGCATTAATAACTATTTTCTCGCCATAATATCTTGAACTACACATGAAACTCACTATATGTTGACGAATCAAATCATTTATGCTGTTAGTACAGCTTGTCAAATTTAAGGTGACACTGGACAAATTTGTCCACTTCCAATTACCAATCCAAGGTACCAATCTTCTGGTACCAATTGATTCTGCCATATAAATACTATTAGTTTATGGATTGCTGCAAAAAGTTGATCACCACCTTTTTTATTTATTTTCGAACAGATTTCATCGACTCCTGGGGTTTTATTGTCTTAAAGCTTTAGAATGACATTTGACACTTCTTCTCTTGTTGGGTCTTCACTGTGTAGTTGATGTAGATTTTGTTGATTTCTATGTTATAACCTTCTTCAATATCTTTTATATTTAGATGTTCGCTGAAATATTGGGCTCATCTGTTAAGAACTGAGTTTTATATTATTTATATTATTATTATTATTTATCTATATTTATATTTATATTATATTTATATCGTTTCGCGCTCATGATCAAACCAATGATTTCTTTTTTCTGACTTGGTTTTGCCCAATATTTCAGCTGATTCCTGGTACACAATATCTCGTATATTTGTGAATAGTTGGTTAATGACTTTTTCTTCTTCTAAGTTTTCTGTCCTTATTGGATCTTCTATTTGCTGTCTGTATACGTTTGCAATGTCGAGAATTTTTAGTGTATTAATGTCGATTTTTTCTCTGCTTTTTTTGATCTCCTTTTTTAAATTGGATATTCTCCCTTTAAATCGTGGTTTAACTAAATAGTGATCACTTCTCTTAAAGACCTAACATCTAATAAGTTAGAGCAGTGTCTTGCATTGAGGATTATATGATCTATTTGGATTACCGTTTCATTATCAGGATATTCCCAAGTTCTCTTATGTATGTCTTTATTGGGCAATCATGTCCCAGCCATTACCATGTTCTTAGACATCGCAAAGTTTTTGATTCTGATACCATTATCATTATAGTCTACGTGTCGGATCCTTTTCCGATGTTGGTCGAAAATATTTGTACTTGTACGGCACTGGTAATAAATGAATCTTGTTCTACTTTACTTTCATAACCGTAAAAGATTGTATGAAAACGCTTACACAGTCTCTAAAAGTAATCAAGTTAGCCTGACAACGTTCACCATTATGTGTACAAGCTACTCGTGGCGACGAGTTATCACTGGCGTATTTACTTGTTTTGTCTATATTTTTCGTCCACTGTGCATGTGCTCGCGATCTTTTTCTAGCTGTATAACCCGTGTGAGACACTACTTCTTCAACACTAGTCATTTTTTATCATATATGCTTGCCTGTTACCATTCTAGAACTAGAAGCAAACTAGTAAACAGCCATGATAAGTCACGTGACTTCTATACGCTTATAGATTGGCCAGGTGGATTTAAGACGCCTTGAAAATAAAATCAGTAGGGTGATGAGACATTTTGAAAATAAATGCAATTTTTAAATGGTAAATAAGCTATTTTGGTGCATAAAACTTTATTCTAGACCTGAAGAAATCTATGACGCTTTTAATAAAATAAAAACATCAATAAATCGAAATTTTGGATTTAAGACACTTTGGAAATAAGCTTTTCAATTGTAATAATAATTATACAGTGTTTTGTAGTGCCTGGATATTAAAAAAAAACATTAAATTCTTTGTACATTGTACAATTGGTATTTTGTATAGTCTCTGTATGACATTTGAAGAGCCGGAGGGAAAATGATATTAGTCCATTTTGCAAAAATGTTTAAGAGAGCGAAAACAAAGTTTTTCTATCTGAATTTTTGATAATAATAACATATATTTCGCAAACATAAAGTTATATCAAATTTTAGATCAATATAATCTCGTTTATATGCATAAAAAATAGTTGGTGCTTTTTTGCCTATATTAGCAGTCTGTAGGAGAAATATCGTTTGGGATTAACGCTAATACTATTAATACTTAATAAAGTAGACTCAAATGAATTATTAAGTATGTAAAAAACAAAAATTATTCTTGTTTGTAAAATTTGTATGTTATTCTTAGTTTCGTCTGAAGTGTTTTCGTCCCATTCTTCAATGAACCGTTCGTCTCTATTTCTGTCAAGATTCTGCAAACCAAATAAAAATGAATTACTTGATAAGTAAATTAAAGTAATTACTATTTAAATGGGAATAAGCCGCAATTAAAGGTTAAAGTACGTTTTCCGAACTGGAAATTGAAATGTCAATAAACGTACTTTAACCTTTAATTGTGACTTATTCCCATTTAAATAGTAATTACTTTAAAATGCCACAAGAAAATAGCTTCAGAACAATATTAAGTAAATTAAAATTGTAGTGCTCATTAGCGTTTGTCATCATTGACGTTTACGTAATTTTATGGACGGGGTCATTCATAGAGATGAGAAACACAGGAAAGAAAACAACAAAAAAGAACAGAAGAGAACTACTGTCACAAAAAATAGCCCCACGTTTGGCGCCAAAATGTTAGTGTTCCATACATAGTGATCTAAAATACTAAGAAGTAAATACATCACACAGCCGTACCTTTTTCTTGTCTTAGTTGTATTTAGAGTGCAGATATCCGAATCTCCATCAGCACTTTTGATTTCTCAAGCGCTATTTATCACACAAAGAACACAGCAATCTTAACCACAGAACACTTTAACTAATAGTCTACTGACACTGTCACTCTCGGCCTTCCCTCTCCACAAAGTGGACCCTGAACATTTTTATCTCTTCGCGCTGTGACTGAAAGCGATGTTTATCCTTAAAAGGAGACGTTTCTCCTCATTGTTTCTTAAATTGCAGAGGACTGGTAGTGTTTTTTCTCTTCCGGTAGCGAATCCGATAGAGGGATATTGAATTACATCATAGCGTTAAAATTAGAGTTTAGACATTTTTGGACTGATATAGTTTTCCTTCCTGGCTCTTCAATTGTAAATATTATAAAGTTCTTAATTGTCAGAAAGTAAGGCGAGCTCTTTTTTTCTGTAAAATTATCGAGACTTCGTTTTTGAATCAACTCAATGTCTTATACATGTTAGAGAAATTTAAAGGTCACAGACATTTAGATATGCCGAAAGTTCATTTACTTTTTGACAATACATTGTAAGTTATTTCCAGAGAAACTATTTCATTTTAGCGAAAAAGTATTTTTAAATTATAACACGGATATATCAAAATTATTAAAGTGTCTGTACTTGTCAATATCGCATTACAATTGTCCATTTCGTATTTTTTATATATTATGTATAAGCAAAATATGATTATAGTTGTTAATAAAAATATTAATTTTGAATGAAATCTTTAATTATTATTTACAGTTCACAAAAACACAGCTTACAGTTATTTACAGTACAGAAGAAATTCATTCTATTTGAAAAATCTAGCCCGAGAAATTAATTGTTCGCACTTACGACGATGCTGCTGTAATGGTGGAGAGTTGTAAGAAAAAATACAGCATTATAAAATTTTATAAATAAAATACATTCAAATAGATGTAAGTCATCAGAGAAGTTCTTGATAATTTCCCAAAATAGCAGCATAGACCAATAATAACAACTGCAGGAATTACTATTTTCCATTGTAAACTCAATTCCTCCACCTAGATGGAACTCATTAGGCAAACGGGATACGAATTAAGCCCAATTGAAGAACAATGTCAGACATATCGAGTCTAAGATAGAAAACTACGAAAGATTTGCTAAACTTAAATTCAGTTATGCTAAAAAACACATACTCAGGGCAGCACTACTACAAGTCCAAGCCGATCCTGTTGACCTTAACATTATACAAATCTGTGCACCAACCTTGGACAAGCCTGAAAATGAAGTAAAACAATTGTACAGAGAGATTAAGAAGTTCATGAAACTGATCAAGAAGAACCAGACTCTTATAATAATGGGAGATTTCAATGCGAAGGTGGGGCGAGGACGTGTTGAAGATGTCGTGGGTGACTTTGGTTTGGGAGATTGAAACGAGAGAGGTGATATGCTAATCCAGTTCTGTAAGGAAGAAAAATTAGTCATTGCGAATATCTGGTACAAACTGCCACCTCGGAGAATCTACATCTGGCAGTCTCCACAACATACGCATGGCAGCATCTTAAGAAATGAAATTGATTTTTTATTGATTAATCAGAGATACAGAAATTGATTGCAAGGAGTAAAAACGTACCCTGGAACAGATATTGGACCTGATCACAATCCCGTAGTAGGAAAATTAAAAATTAAGCATAAGGAAATTAATAAAGTAGGACTGGAATCTACAGCATATTACTCAATCGAAAAAGGTTTACGACAGGGTTGTCTTCTGTCACCTTTCCTTTTTAATCTTTACTCTGAAACGATTTTCGATAGAGCCTTACCTGACACTGAAGATGGAATCAAAATCAACGGACAGACTATCAGTAATCTTCGCTATGCTGATGACA